GCCTTTGCTAGAAAATTGTGGTTTACTTAGCTATCTAAGACAGAGTAAAAGCTTTTGCTACCTGTGCCTGACTGTACATGAGATATCCTGTTTATTAGTTTTTTAACTAGATGTATTTAAGTTTTTGAGTCAATTGCAGGTGTTATTAGTGAGATAATTGCTGCTAAAGTGAAAAGAGAGTGAGTCCTCTATGTTAGTATGTTATGAAGGTATAGTAGGTAGAGCCTAGAGGAAGTGACATCACTACTGGCCGGCTAGCTGGGCTTAACTTGGCTAAATTAGATATTAGATATTAATTAACACTAATATCTATGATTTGCTATAAATACCATCAAAGACACACATTCATTTCATTGCATGATAGGAATTTTGGAATTGGACGATGATTTGGCTCAGTGTGCTTAGTATTTGTTTAGCTTTCTGTAAGTTGCCTTTATACAAGAATATAATCTTTCATAGTCAATTAAATTACTTATAGCCACAGAAACATCATCAGTGCCTAGCATATCTTCATTTACTTACACTCCTTATCCTGTTGTGTGTCCTGGAGATTCACTAGTGTTCACTTGTAAATGTACCTGAAGCAAGCATAATATGGAAGAGAAATGGAAATGCTGTGGTACTAACAGTAAATACAATTCCACCTTCCATTAATAATTTTACATTGAGCCTTGTGAGTTACAATGCAATGGAACTAATTAGTACTGCTACAAGCCAATCAGCAGCTTCAATACAATTGAATGGAACTACTATTGATTGTTTAGCTGATGGAGTCACTTTGCGAGTAAAACTATAAGTATAGCAGGTATAGATCTGTGTCCATAAACAAATTATTAAATTTTTGTATAGATCCACCAGTAACAACAGTTACTAATGTATATAACTATTATTCCTATCACTAATGATTCATTGATTTATTAATTGGAATACTTCAGAGGCATGTATAGACCAGGCTATTAACAGTAACAAAAATGAATCCAGGACTGATACTATTGGAAGAGAAGGATTTCCTTCATCATTGATACAGAATGTATGGAATGGTAAGTACTACACACACGCACACACACACGCACACATGCACACGCACACACACACACACACATTGTATTTCTTATAGTACCAATTCAAGTTGTTAATATTAGTTGGGAACAAATATCAACTGATAAAATTACAATATGGTAGAATAACACTGAAGACTATAAAGTATGTTAATTATAACGTATATCATAAACATAATTATAATGCAATAGCATATACCAGTTCCTCCTTCTCAGTATTACATTATTAAAGTATATAATACATCAAAAAGTATTATATACACTAATAATACAACTAATACTAATATTACTATTACTGCAGGACTACCTAGCTCTTACTGATACTAACTACACTGTTAGTATCATACCTCTTAATATTATTGGGTATAGACCATCAGTCACTGTTAATGGTACAGTTAATTACTTTACATGAAAATCTGGCATTGTATTGCTTATAGTCAATATATCTGCTATAATGACCAGTAGTTCAATTACTAGCAAATTATCAGGTCTA